CTGCCACTATAATTATAAATATAATAATTTCATTGTTTTCCTCTCATTACAGAGCACTTGAGAGATATGAAAAATATATACTTGGAAGACATATGAATTGTAAGGAAGGAAAAAATATTACCAATAAGCCCCCACCCTGGAAATATAACTTGCTCGTGTTTTAGCATATTTTCTTCTGTGCTTTTCTCTCCGCACTTCAAGTCATATATGTAGGTGCCATTGGCATCGCCTGTTTCCTCCCTGTGCGGATCTGATCTCTGCATTTACCATCAAGAATGCAGCTTCCCAGGAGGTCCATCTGTTGGGTCCAGCTCCTTGCTCCCCAGGCAGGGATTCGGCCGCCAGACACCGCTGACTGGAGCAGCTGCCCCGCAGACACACAGGTATCTTCTCCCCAGTGCGCTCTGTCCCGAAACCCTCAAGGAAGAAGAACTTCTTGTCGGGGGAGCACAAACAGTTGCTCCGGGGAAGGGTGCTCGGAGGGGCAAGACAGAAAGCTGGGGTTGAAACTCTGAGCCGGCCATGATGGCTCACACCTGGAATCCCAGCACTTTGGGAGGCCAAGGTGGGAGGATCTCTCGAGCGCAAGAGTTGGAGACCAGCCTAGGCAACATGGCAAGACCCCGTCTCTACAAAAGAAAAAAAAAAGAAACTCTGAAAGCCCCTGTAATCATGGTTTTTGTGGATCAACACAATCAAGACAGCATCTGGGACAAAGGGAACGGCAACGCCTCCACCACATCTTACGCTAGACACAGCTGGCCCTGTGTCACTTCCATCCAGCAGGGCCTGTTCATGTCCAGAGTAATCTACACAACCCCTCAGGGTCTCCCTCACTTAAAGCTCCAACGGGACAATCATGACTTTGCTTGGCTTTGTAGCTGGTGACTTATACTGAAACCTAGATGGTTCCGCCTGGATGCCCCTCACGAAGCTTGACTTGTTGCTGATTCTCTGATGTGAGAGCAGGTGGTTCCCATCTCCTGGCTGGGACGCCGGGTGTTTCTGTGGCTCAGCTTGTGAGACGCTGGAGAGCATCAGTCTCTGTCCTCATCCAGTTGGCTGAAGATATCAGGTCAATCAGCATGGCCCACAACCACTGCCTCACCCACGGAGCTGGCCCGAGGCCAGGGCCCACCGGCCTCAGCGTCCACATTTCTCCCAAGGCTACATTCCAGGAAGCCTCCACCCAGCCCAGCCAGCCATTCACCTTGCCTCTGGCTTATCAGCATAATCCCCAGGACCAGGATGTTCCCACTGCCGCCTGCATGAGCATTCCGTGGAAACTCAAGAACTTTTTACAAGTCGTTCCTTCATTCAAAGCCCCACACGGGTTTCCTGTTCCGCTCAAACCAAGTCCTTATAGTGGCCATGCTCTCCAGTGCCGCTCGGCTCCCGGCTGTTCCTCCAATATGTCAAGCACGCTTCGGCCTCAGGGACTTTGCATGGCTGCCCCTCTACGTGGAACGCTCCCACCTCGAGTATCCATTTCGCTACATCTCTCCTTCAAGTTTTTGTTCAAACCTCATCTTCTCAGTGAAACCCACCTTGTCCCCCATATAGA